CGCTGACAATGCTGTCTTCAGGCGATGGAGTAACCAAGGATGACACCAGTGTGTAGGTGGCAACATAACATCTTAGACAACATGGTGTTGTGCATTGATTAAATACAAATAAATAGTTAAATAGTCTAGCATATTTCTAATACTAAGGCAAGAAATGTTAACCATTTTGCATACTTGAGGCATCTCTCTTACCCACAAATGTAGTTATACATGTGGATGAACATGACTGTGAACATCAACTAACATACATCAAAGGTACACCTTAAAACAGTTTTCTGTGTTTCAGTGACCTCACCTCTCAAACTGGGTTTCAGTTCATACCTGCTCTTTTGCATTATTACATGTGGTCTAATATTATACCTGGTATACAATTTTCCATACATTTTAGCCAATATAACAGCCATATGATGTATACATCCCTTCAGGAGTTCTTCCATAACTAACACCCACCTCTGGGCTCTCCTGGACCTTCTCTGTGTTTGGGCTGGGTGGTTTGAAGCAAGCCAGCATCTCCAGCAGGTCGAAGAGTGTGGTGAGATGAGGCTCCTGAAGGAGCAGTAGCATAGGAATGTGCTCTTTCTGAGGAGGTGGAAGACAGGAGGCAGGCAATTGGATGCCCTCGCCCTTCCTCTCCCTCCGCGGAGCTCCCAGAGACACAAATACCATCTGGGATCAGATAAGAAGATGGTTCATAAAACTCATCTGCACTGAACAAATGTAATCAAAATTTACATGATTAGACAACAACGTTAAAAGATGTAAAACAATCTTTCAGACTTGAGCTGAACTGCAGTCTGTCCTACTGTTGGCCGTTTCTTACACAGAAGAGAAGTCAAACTGTTACCTGCATGTCTTTAAAGCCCAGCTCATGCAGAGTCTTCTCATCATAGTCTGTGGTAAGTTCATGACCAGAAGAGATCATCCTGACCGGTCCCATCAAACCACCTGCAGAACACGAGACAACATTTCACTAACAGACTCACTCACACAACAAAAGCAAGGGAGAATATTTTATGGAGGGAGCTGACCTGGGAAGTCTCCTGGCTGCCGGCCACTCTGGCCAAATTCCTGCAGCTGAGCCTGGTGGTTCATCTGCTCCTTCTGCAGGTTCTCGTACCAGTGGGTCACCTCAGCTCGCAGGTCAGCTACTTGGTCACTGGGATACATCTCAATGGTCATCTGCAAAAAGTGTGTCCAAACATTTGACTTGTACTGTAGAAGCACATT